AAATGTCTTCAACATTACTTGGAAAAATCTACCATGCGTAAGATCTTTCATGAACAGTCAGAAGCTTTATTAATACTACGCAAGAAATGTCATGTTTGTGATTCATCAGACTGACACAAACTCTGCAAGGCAGGCATGCAATTGCGCACATAGAGGGACGTGGTGTATCTGTGCGTGGACATGATTACACACGCTAGCACAAACAAGTCAACAGAAATTGCAAAAAACCGCTGCAAACCATGAAATTAACTGCATTTCGAGTGTGAAGTGGCTTAACAAATAAACATACGTGGGGTTCTGAGTCCACTTGTGAAAATTAGTGCATTTTGTTGTAAATGCTCAAACACATTGAACCATGATGCTAAAACAGATATTGCAAGTTCAAATCTGAAATTTACTAGATTTTCCATCTTCCCTTGGTTGTTAAAGGGATAGTTCACCCAAAAGTGAAATTCTGTCATCATTTACTCACCCTCATGTCGTGTGTGACTCTTTCAACTGCGAAACATAAAAGATGATATTTCAAAAAAACATTAAGGTCCAAAATGACAATGTACCCTATTAACACCAACACAGTTTCACAGAAGAATGTCAGTCACACAGGTTTGGAATGACAAGAGGGTGAGTAGGGTTAACTCTCTCTTTAATGTGACTAAAATTGCAAAAGCATTAAACACAAAAGATGAAACACTGAAGTTGAACAATTTCAAGCAATTCTTCTACTTCAGACCAGAGAAGTCAATTAAATCTTCACCCAGTCTGAGAGCAATTAATCTTTTCCCTTCATAAGCAGGCTTCAATATACTGAGTTCATAATGACTCTCTTTCATGAGGTCAGATCATCGGCACAGGCACATGTCAATAGTCAGTCAATAATGCACTCTCTTCATATACAGCCCTCAACTGTCACTCAAAAATGCTTCAGAACATGAAATATAAACACATTGGAGCAGCACATTCAATACCAATAAATATGAAGAACACAACAGAGGACAACAGCGGGTTTCCATTTCCATTTATGTATTTGTAAGATATTTTTATCCAAAATGCCAGACATACGCATGTGTCCTCATTGGCATTTGATCAAAGATGCAGCAAAAAGCACCTATCAAGAAATAACTCTTTTGATGTTGAGCTAACTGTCAGTTTGGCTTGAGTTTTCGGCTTGTATAAATGTCTTGCTAAAATCAGACTGGGAATTCTACTTGCATTTACATGTGACACGAGTTCAATAGGGATAGTTCACCCAAAAATGAAAATTCTGTCATTAATTACTCACCCTCATGTCGTTCCAAACCCGTAAGGTTTTCGTTCATCTTCAGAACACAAATTAAGATACTTTTGATGAAATGCAAGAGCTTTATGACCCTCCATAGAAATCAATGCAACTGAAACGTTCCCAGGCCCAGAAAGGTAGTAAGGACATCGTTAAAATAGTCCATGTGACATCAGTGGTTCAACCGTAATGTTATGAAGCTACAAGAATACTTTTTTGTGCGCAAAAAAAACAAAAATAACAACTTTATTCAACAATGTCTTCTCTTCCATGTCAGTCTGCGACACGTATTCACGAGAGTACCATGACGCATGCGTGTGGTGCTGCTGACGCAGGAGCCAGCGTTCTGACAGAGCGCACATGCACTGAGCCTTGTTTACAAGCAGAGGAATGCACACGCATGCATCGTGGTACTGTTGTGAACGTCGAAGATGGACACAGAAGAGAAGAAATAAAGTTGTTATTTTTGTGTTCCTTGCGCACAAAAAGTATTCTCGTAGCTTCATAATATTACGGTTGAACCACTGATGTCACATGGACTATTTTAACGATGTCCTTACTACCTTTCTGGGCCTTGAACGTGGTAGTTCCATTGCTGTCTATGCAGGGTCAAAAAGCTCTCGGATTTCATCAAAAAAAAAATTATTTGTGTTCCGAAGATGAACGAAGGTCTTATGGGTTTGGAACGTCATGAGGGTGAGTAATTAATCATTTTCTGTTTATTTACGCTTTGATTTGAACGAAAACAGCATATCCATGTGGTGCGGCTGACGCATACAAGTAGAACAACATACGCAGTTTGCGTTCAGTGGATACTCTCCAAAATGGCGCTACGGTGAGGTGGAGGAGATGAATTGTTGAATAACGTTATTTTTGTTTTCTTTGTGTACAAAACGTATTCTCGTTGCTTCATAAAATTCAGATTGAACCACTCATGGCAGATTGACAATTTTGACAATGTCTTTCATACTTTTCTGGGCCTTGACAGTGTTATTTACTTGGCAGTCAATTGGACAGTCACAAGCCTCCCGGTTTTCATCCAAAATATCTTAAATTGTGTTCTGAAGACGAACGGAGCTTTTAGGAGTTTTGAACGTCATGGCGGTAAGTGATTAATGACAAAATTTTCATTTTGGGGTGGAGTATCCCTTTAAGAGCAAAAACGGTTTAAATAACGAACAGGAACGAAGGTCTTATGGGTTTGGAACGACACGAGGGTGAGTAATTAATGACATAATTTTTATTTTTGGGTGAACTGTTCCTTTAAAGGGATACACCAGCCCAAAATTTAAATTTTGCCATTAATCACTTACCCCTATGTCGTTCCAAACCCGTAAAAGCTTCGTTCATCTTCGGAACACAATTTAAGATATTTTCGATGAAAACCGGGAGGCTTGTGACGGTCACATTGATTGCTGAAGTAAATTACACTTAATGACAAAATTTTCATTTTGGGGTGGAGTATCCCTTTAAGAGCAAAAACGGTTTAAATAACGAACAGGGTCTACATTTTGTGTAATGAAAGAAAAACTCAGCCTCAAAAAAATGTTAATGATCAATATTATGTTAGCAGCTGATGCCATCTGCAATAGTATCAGGCAAGCCTTTGCTCTTTTCTTAAGTACATGGAAGTCCTGTGTTGCTTCCTTTAAACTGAATTATTCAAAATTTATGCAAAAATGTGTTAAATGTTGTTACCGGATCAGCCACAGAGGATAAAAACTGTATTTTTCCTCTTACAAATCTTTAAATAAACCCTGACAGGTGCATGCTGTCATATGTCAGCCTTCATTCCCAAATGAACAAGTAACATTCAGTAAGGACACCAACATTTGCTCTAAGGTAAATTAAGCTGACTAAGTTAACGTTAATTCATTTACTTATTGATCAGGGTCAAAGCAGAGTTCATAGTGTTGAGCATGTTGTAGAACTGTTCTGTTCACTTAACTCTAATGTTATCAGATGCAATTATTTTCAAAAGAAGCTTTTTTCCAACAAAGTGTTTGCCTTGATTCTGAACTGCAATCTGTGCAGTTTTTAATCATGTTATCATGTAATTTAACAATTTCTTTAAAAGAAAAATGGCTGATGAAAATGCTGTAAAATGTCCTTATTCATTCCAGCCTACCTAAAAAATAATATCCAGTTCATTTTAACCTCTTTATATTACTTAAAATCACATTTTCTTTGAAAAATTCTGTAAAGTTTGTCTCTGTTAGCAACATTAACCAAGAGGGGAGGAGCTTATCAAAGGATAAACTGGCTTGGGTTGCTGTGCAGCTTCAGATTTACCCATACTTTTTGTAAACTGGTGCCAAAAATCCCTGCCAAAGAAAAAGCACCATTCTTTCTCATATCTCCAGCAGATAAAATATTAAAATCACAATTGAGAGGTTCAAACCTCCCCAAATGCCAGTGCAGGTTGTCCATATGCTGGCTCAGACTGGCATACAGAGATAAGAGTCAGCCAGATGAACAACATATGAAAAAAACCCTCCTGTCATAAACAGATATCAGTGTCAAGACCCATCTGGATATGACTTGAAAAACACTAAGAGGTAACAGCACAAGTAGTTTTTATGGAGGAAACTGGTTATCAATAAAAGTAATGAATTGCTATAGTTATTCAGGAGCTTTGTTACTCTTTTTAAGGCAGATGTTACTGTGTTTCTTTAACAGCTTGTCAGCTGCAGCAAAAAGAGACCATTTTTTTGGTCTTGGCATATGTTTATGCAGTGAAATGGATGAATGGAAAAGTTTGATTATGGTTGTTATCCATCCAATGGCACAGCAGCGGCACCTGCTGTTTAATTCAGTGTAACGCATCCTCAGGTACTGTGATAGACCTAAATTTACATTCACACAATTTTGTTTTCTAAATTACTTCATCCTTGCTAGCTGAGAGACATGACCTTTAAAAATAAAACAGTCCAACAGTCAGTAATCTGAGACTGACCCGCTTGACATGTGTGAGATGAAACTGAACAATGAATCAACACTGATAAACTGAAGCACTTTGAGTTAATTAACTAATATTACAGTGTAGGTGACATTGTGAATATGCTCCTTCTGTAACAATGCACTAAAACACTACAGTGAATAAAATAAATGCATAAAGGAATGTGCACTTATTATTATATTATTATTTCAGGAGTTTAGTGTTCACAAGTACAGTATCCACAAATTATTTAAATCATGTTTTAAATAAATGTTAATAATCATTAAATTTAATACTTCTTTTCATTTATTAAATAGTTTTATAATTGAATCATTATTACTACTACTGTTACAATTATTATTGCCATTATTATTATTCAATTAATATTATTAAATAATATTAATTTATAATTACTATTAAGTTTAATTTTGCACTTTAAACTAAAATATTATTTTTGTCGACTAAAATTAGTTCTTTCTGGACAATAAATTGAGTAAAATAACTAAAATAATGAATATGACAAGACAAAATATTTACTCAATTTAAAGGATGTCTTTATAAAAAGACAAAAACGGTGTAAAAATGAGTGCTAGTCAGTGAGATTCTGTGGTAATATTAAATTATTCAGATTAAGTAATTTCATTCGGAACAGCCATTCAAAACTCAATGTTTGAGCAGTAGTTTATCCATACATTCTTTTCGAACCATAAACTTTTGTAAATCAGCATTTGCATATGGTTTGGAAAAAAGCCAATGCTGCCATCTGTCAGATGTTTTCACTTGTACCTGTCGAGCGAGGTTCACGGAGTCAGCAGTGAGTCTGTCTCTGAGGTGTGGGTCCAGCTGTGTGGCCGGTGCGATCTCCACCACCTTCTGGTGTCTCCTCTGGATAGAGCAGTCCCTCTCGTACAAGTGAATGACATTGCCGTATTTATCGCCTACACACAATGGACCGATCAACTCATTGAGCATTACACAGAAGTCTTAAACCCATCTGCCACTGTAAACAAACCCATCTGCTAGTATTTCTCCAAAATATAATAACAAACACAATCATATAACTGATCAATAAACAGTATGCAAATTAGCAGGCAACAGAGAACTGCACCACTCTGTTCATTGTTGAGAACAGTGTGCTCTACGCAAATATCCAAATGTTTTAATTAACTACCAGACAATGTATTTATTTCCTGCAAAAATCTAATTTGCTGTTGAAGGTTTTGAGCGTTTTTTTCAGCAACAATGTCTGGGAACAGATTTGAAGTAAAACTCTTTACTTACTCATCCTTATGTCTTTCCAAACCTGAGTGACTTTCTTTCCATGGGACACAAAAGGAGAAATTTGAAAGAGTACTTGTTGCTCTTTTACATTCAATTACAATAAATGAGGACCGAAGCTTTCAAGCTGCAAAAGCATCATAAATTTATTATAAAAATTGTATATTTGACTTGCGTTATTGCTATATTATTTCTTCTGAAGCTTTGAGAAATATTATTCATTGGAAATCTTGACATTCACACCTTTGCTTCCATGGTTTGTCCATGAGAAAAGTATCAATTTATACACAATTAGTTGATTCATGAGAGACAAAGTGGTTCATAAACAAATCATTTAAGTTGGATCTTTTCAACACATTTCTAAATGATTTATTCATAGCTTGGACTGATCAGGTAAACCTACAAGCGTTGTTTACATGCAAATTAATAATCCATTTGTAAACGGGTTGATAGCTCAATCAGACTGAAAAGCCTTAAACACATTATTTAATTTGACTGAGCTCAATCTGAATTTGAGTAGTGTAGATCTTTAATAAGGTGTTTGACAGGAAAATTTTAGCCATGTTTCTAATATTTAATGTTTAAAAAAAAAAGCTTTGCTGACTTGAACATGGCAACTTGGCACTGCGAATGCCCAAAAACCTGATTGGATTCATTCAGGTTGACAAAAATTAGTGCATGTAAACATATCTACTGACTCAATGATCCAGTCAGTGTTTAACAGCCAACTAAAAGGGGAAGATTATAAGTGAATAATTACTTACATTTTAGTCTGTCCTCACACTAAGATACAACAAGGCTTCAAACGACTGTAGCAAACGAGTCATGTTGGCCACTTTTATGGTGCTTTTGTGTCCTTTTGACATTTAAACACGTCAGAACAAAGAGCAACAGTTTTCCTTTTGTGTTCCACAGACAGAATATAATACAGGTTTGGAATGTAATGAGGGTGAGTAAATGATGACGATGTTTATTTCTGGTTGAACCATTCCTTTAATATTAGAACACTTGATCTGCAGTTCACTTACCCAAGATCTGCACCTCGATGTGTCTGGGTTTCTCAATGAACTTTTCCACAAACAGAGCTCCATTGCCAAAGGCTGCCAGGGCCTCAGAGTACGCACGCTGATAGTTCTCCTCTAGTTCCTGATCACACACGAAGCCATAGAGTCAGCCAGTGCAAATAGCCAGCACACCAATTCATACAGCACAAGTAACTCAAGAGCAAACAAAACTAAAGTGCGCACACATTCGCGTTCATTTAAAAGTCCTCCAGTGTCAAAGCTCACAACTGGCTCTCAGAAGGAACGGAGCAAAGATTAAATGCGTTCCAATCCCGTACAAATAATTTGACTCTCGGACATAGTACCTCATACTCCCTGACCACTCGCATTCCACGTCCTCCGCCCCCATAGGCAGCCTTGAAGATAATCGGGAAGCCATAGCTGTTGGAAAACTCTTGAGCTTCCTGCAAAGACGAGATGGGAGCGTCTGTTCCAGGTACCACCGGTATACCTGCAGGATGACCAGACAGATCTGCCTCATTACATGCATTTTCTTTTTTTTGGTGGAATGCTGGTAACCAAACAGTTGCTGGTAGCCATTGACTTCTATAGTTTTCTTCCATACTATGATAGTCAATGGCTACCAGGTTTGGTTACCAGCATTCTTCAAAATATCTTCTTTTGTGTTCAAAAGAAGAAAGAAATTTATACAAGTTTGGAACAACATGAGGGTGAGTAAATGATGACAATTTTCTAAATTTTCTAA